ACACAGTAACATTTAAAAAATTTTGTAAGAAATAACTTTTGGAAATTAAAAATATGCTTCGTAAATTAAAAATTCATTGAAACAGTTGGAAATGTAGTTAAAGAATTTTCCCCAAAGGTAAACCAAAGACAAGGAAACATAAAATAGAGAAGAAAAAAGTCCTAGATCAACATGGGAGCTTCAACATGAGATCAGAAGTTACAGAAAGAGAGAAGAGAAAAAATGGTTAAAAAGAAATTATCAAAGAAATAATCCCAGAAATGAAGGACCTAAGTTTCCATACTGAAAAGTGCCATCACAGTGAAATTACACACTGCCCCACCAGAGTCCATTACTGTGCAGTTTCAGAATATCATAGACAAACTCTCAACAGCAACATTGGAAGGTAGACCATGAGGGAGCCCAGCTTTCAAAATTCTGAGAATAAATTATTTCAACCTGGAATTCTATAAATAGCTAAACTATCAATCTTATATGAATGTAGAATCAGGATTTTTTCCCCCAAACATTCAGGTCCCCTAATTAACTAATTAATATCCTTTGCACCTATCTCAGGAAGCAAGTGACGGATAAGTTCCTCAAAACTAGAAGAAAACCAAGAAAGCATTTATTTGAGTTCAGAAATTGGTGGTAGACACAGATGTAAGTCAAAGGGGAACCATCAGGATGATATTTAAAATATAAAACCCAGGACAGCACTGTTAATGGACCAAATGTCTGTGTCTCCCAATATTTGTATTTTGAAACTCTAAAAATCTTACTCTCTAATGTGACGTTATTACGAGGCTGGGCTTTTGGGAGGTGATTAAAATTAGATATGTCATTAGAGTGAAGTCCTCATGAATGGGATTAGTGACATAAGATTCGTGAGAGAGCTGGCCTCCTCTCCTGGCTCTCCACCATGTGAGGGGCAATGAGAAGTTAGGAGTCTGCAGTGTAGTAGAGGTTCCTCACCAGGAGGGCACCCTGATCTCAGACCTGTGAGAAATAAATTGCTATTGTTTATAAGCCACCCAGTCTATGGTCTCTTTGTTACAGCTGCACAAGCTAAGACAAGCACCTATGCAGCAGGTGTAAAACCCAACAAATTCAAATTAGAAAATGAGAACGAAGGGTTCCAGGAGGAATACTCGCAGGGGAAAAAAATAACAAAAAGGTAGATCTGACAGTTTGGTCTTTGTTTGTTTACAGAGATGTTAAAGAATACTTTAAGACTTAGGAGAGGATTGAAGAAAAACACCCATGAAACAATAAGGTCATCATTACAAAAAACCAAAGAATTATGCAAAATGAAATTATAGTCATACAGCATTTGATTCAGCAGTGAATTGTCACAATAAAGAAAACATTAACCATAATCTACCATATACTGAGAGAATGGGATAGAAGAGGAAGTAGAAATAATAAGAGAATTAAATCTTCGTCACTACGTTGAATAGAGGTAGTTACTGTCTAAAGTCGATAACTTGAAAAATTGCAAAATCCATGTGTCATTTGGAAATGTAAATACAAATTCAAGAAAGCAGGAACAGAATGGTGAAAGGAATTACATTGGAGTAGCAGAATATGGTGGAAATTAGAGAATGATCAAGGGGAAAATCTTTGCTGATAACTTTTATAAGTCCTTTTACCACTATTTGACATTTTTTCATATTTATAAAGATTGGATTTATTTTTAAAAATCAAATGAGAGAGATAATCCTTCCCTCAGAATACTAAAAGATCACATATTAAACAATATTCATATACTGCCTTTCTGATATCACCTTTCTACTTGTGTGATTTCAGTCTTCTGCTTATAAGTGAATTAATCTGTCATACATTAAAATTGCAGTTAGAAAACAAATAATTAGCAATCTATACTTTAAAACTAACACCATTAAAAAGTTTTAATGACAAAGACCTCATTTTTTGAAGCAAATTTAAATAACTGACTCAATTTTTTATTTGCAAATATGCATTCTATTTCTGACACTATTATGAATTTTGTTTTCTCGTGAAAGGCACAAATAGAGTTTCTTATGACTTGTATGAGATCAGTAAATAGACATCTTGGACAATTATTTATATCTATTTTCCAAAAAGATATAATTAAAAAAATATATTAAATGAATGTGATAATTAGAGGGCCTTCAGGCTGGTGATGAGGATCATAACCAAGAATTTCCTGGAACAAATATTTCATTTAAACACCTTTTGCTCGTTTTCTTTTTATGGAGCCTAAATTTTCATACTAAAACCATATTTAAAACTAACACCAAGTGTAGAATATCTTTTATTCCCTCTTTTCTCTATCTACTTGTTATGTTCTCTTTTCAGCTAATCAATATTTTATAGTTTCCTGTAGTTCCCAATATTTTTCATCTTGCCCTTTCCCCTAAAGTTTCTCGAAAACTTGCTAACCCTGGTTCAGACCTAGTCTTTCTGTCTTTCTCTTGTCACTTTAGAAATGAAGGGCTCAGTCAAGAGCAGTTTGAACTGTGCCCGACACTGAAGGCCATTGGAAAGCAACTTAGCAACATGCCCTTGACTTCAAGGCAAGTTTGAATCTTCAATTTAAGAAAGAATAATGCAAAACATGACACAGTTGATTTTTTAAATAGTCAACACTCTATATTTAGAAGAAAAATGCCTACAATAACAAAAATTTTAAGAACTGGGCATTTTGTGTTGACACCATCCTCTGTTTCCAGAGAATATTCTGCAATCAGTTCACATACTAATCAGTCTTGTAGAACATCTGTCCCAAAATTGTAATACAATAAGAACTAATGTTTAAAATCATCCCTAAGAAATTAAGGATCCAAAATAATTAAAATCAAAAAATTCAATTCAATATCATTAAAGAATGGAAATTGGACTATAACATTTTGGAAGGATTTTGTTTCAACCAAAGGATTTTTTTCCGGGATCTTAGTTAGCAGGAAAATCCATCTAAATCCATCTAAACAATTTTGTTTAAATCCCATGCTCTTCTATCAATGTTTATATTTAACACACTGCACCACCATCCAGCCAGTAGATGAAGCCCAGAAGTCTTACAGCTCAGAATGACGTTTTCCCCTTCCAATAGTTCTCCATATCTTATTGGTTGTGCTTCCTAAACACCTGTCAAAACAACTACTATTCTTGTTCTGTACTTTCAAAATCACTATTGTATTAATCCCCAGTACCCTGACACAACCAAATGGGCTCACTGCATTTCTCTGACCCTGCTCCTCCTGGAGCTGAAACACTTTATTAATTTTCTCTTTAGACAAATGTTAACCCTTTAGCATATATTTCAAAACCTTCCAAGACTTTGCTACCTCCCTTGCGTGATTTGATATTTGCCTCAAATTGCTTTCACCTCTCTTTCTTCACACCAGCTGCCTGCAGCTCCAATCTCTTGCTCACCTGCTCTGCCACAAGCTGGTATCACTTCCTTCAAAGTTGTCTCCTCATTTGCCTATTTCCTATTCATCACTCAGGTCTTTTTAAAATGCCATTTCCTTAGAGAAGCCTTTCTTGATCCCTAATCTAAATTCATTAAATGTCAGCACCTTGTTCAGATGCTTAGGTTCTGGGTTGGCCTTCATTTTCAGCTGTGTGATAGGAGATGCCAATGGTTTTAGAAAATTAACAAATTTTAAAATGAGAAAATGCTATCCATTATTTGTGAATATTGAGGAAAACTCCATTATTAATTTTGATTGCACATTTTGGGATAACTAACAAAGCACTACGGTGAGAACTAAATTTTTTTTGCAACCTCATTTTTTTGTCACATTAAAAAATAATCATGCTGTGGCCTCAATCTTTTATAGTATTGGAAAATAATCATGACTTGAGTGGAATTTCTTAACTATATCTTCGGTTCAAATGAATTCATCAACTTCTGGTTAAGTATTTGTGTACAACAGCATGTAACACATAGTCCTAAAACCTACCCAAACTTTCACATCAACTTTTTTATTACTGTATGAGTAACCAACAATATTAATGAGAGAAGAGATATATAGAGTTTAAGACAGAGGTACATGTTGACCAACTATTTTTACATACTACTGTATGTCCTCAGGTGTATTACATAAAGTACCTGAGCAGAACCTAATTTCATTCTCAAAACAACTCCAAAAGTCAGGCAAAGGGATATCATCATCCTTTTCGCATAGATACAGTTTTAATGGCACACCCCAAACCACCAACTATTAAGTTATTGATTCAGACATAGAATCTAGGACTTTTGACTGCAAGTTTAGAACTCTTTGCTCCAATAACCCATGGACTTAGACAACAATGCTGGGGGCAAGGACAGGGGGATCAAGAGGAGGGTGTCTAGGGGGAAAAAAGGAGAAACATCTGTAACAAAAATAAAAAAAAGAACTCTTAGTTCCAGACTTGCCCTAGATCCTAATCTTGAAAATTAAAGATATTAATTCCTTTGGGTAACAATGCTCTTCCTATTTTAAAATGCAAATAATTCACTGAAGATTACATAGTAAAGCACACCTATGAGTAAATTAATTTGTCACATTATTTCCTTTGTCAGAAGGACTTCCAGCTAGTAGGGAAGATTTATTAACAGTGATAGTGGCTGAAGTAAGGGATGTCACAAAAATAGGTGTAAGGGACACATTAAGGAAACTGTATTTTTACTTCATTTTTGACCAACTCCATACCAGAAAGCCTCTTTCTAAGCAAATACATTCTATTTTTAAAAGCAGCTTGTTTCTGACCAAGTTGAACTAGCAGTGATAAAAATGAATATTTTAATATGTCTGTATGAGACAGAGCAACTTACGTTAGGATGCACCACATAATTTACAATATGTGTTTATACATGTTATCCAATTTGATCCTTGCAACAAATATGTGCTTTGCTTGTTTGTAGATGAGAATCTGACCCTCAGAGGCTTAATGGACAAGTCAGGGACAGAGTCTCATTCTTCACTCTACAGCCTTTCCGTTTCCCAAACCCCACAATTCTCCACAGAGTATCATTCCCAGTGGATACTTACATTTCATCACACCTTGAATTTCATAAACAGGTTTGAGTGTCAGAGCACCATAAAATCCTTTAGGGAATGGATTCGTTAAATCCCACTTATTTGAAAAATCTGTAAGTTTCACAGTTCTTGTTCTATTCTTGGGGATCTTCCACTCCACGATCTCCTTTAGAGTGTAAATATGTTCATCTTCACACTCGTAGAATTCCCCTTCTTGTGACAAAGGCAAAGTAAATGAGTGATTTTGATGATTCCTCACCACTCCACAGTTCACCATTATTTCTCCATCAATTTCTTCAACTGAGTTGAGCATGATTTGCTCACCATGCTTTATGATGAGATTCTCTAGTTTCATATCCTTCTGATGGTAGAAGCAAGGATGCCCTAGTCTACTTGGTCCAATATGGATGGTCCTTATGATTTCTTCCATAGTGAGGTATGGCGTTTTATCTGCGACAATCTTAAAAAGACCTAAGAACAGAATTGTGTGAATTAAAGAGAGTTTTTACAATGAAAGTTCTCTACAAAAATCAGTGAGACAGGTATAAAACAAGTATAATGTAGATGGTTAAAGTAATGCGAATTCTTTATAGACTGGATATACTTCTTTGAATCCTGAATTCTTCTAGGAAAAAATTTAATGTATTATTTGATAATCATATCTAGGCAACATAAATGAAGACAAGACAAAAAAGACCTTAAGAGAGAAAAGGCCCTACTCTTGGAAATGGGAAATTTGTATGACATACTGACTGTGTGACATTGACCAAGGCATTTAATCTTTCAAAATTACATTTTTACTTTATTTTAATTTTTAAAATGAGAGGATTGGGTTAGATCAATATGCCCATAAATGTAATCTCTAGATGCACTGTGACAAAAGGGGAATAAAGCATACAAAATTTAAAAAATGTTTTTGATTAAAGAACTCTTGATAAAATATCCACTAATAAATTACAAGATAATACAGCATGAAATATTAGTGCTACATGTAACCTTGGAAAATGCCAGGTTAGGTAGTTCTGGATTGAATAATCTTGATTATATGTCATTCTGTCTTCCCATTACTTCTCTAACTTTGTCACAGTTTTACTATTTAATTTTTTCTCTAATACTATCAGAAAAGTCACTAATACAATTAATTTTTACTATTCAAGGTATATATTTTTTTGTTTGTGTATTTAAGTGTTTAAGTTTAATTATCCTTTTTGATTATTTTGCTTTTATTTTGTGGGCACATCTGCTGTGTAGCACTTTCAGAAGCTTTTTTATCACATACATTTTAATATATCCCCAAGAAAATCAGAATAAAGAAAAAATTACATAATTGCTTTCTTAACCCAAAGGTAAATTCATGATAATATTGTATACTAGCATGCACAAAGAAGATAATGTATTATAAAAACTACTTAATATAATAATATAGCTTAGAAAAGTCATTCATTAGTTTTACTCAACATGTACATTTCAACCAAATTTATCTATATATCAAATCATTAACCAAGTTATGATACCTGTTATATATACTTTTGTCTTCTCTACAAAGACTTATGGTGAGTTATTTTTGTAGTTAATCTTTGCTCAAACAAAAAATATGTATATAAGATTTGGCTATTTTTTATATAAACTTCCTGAAGAAGTGTGGGTGATACAAGCTCGATGGGAATGAATGAAATAGCATGTGCAATCTGTCCTGGAAACTCATCGATGGCTGATGTGCTTGAAGACGGCAAGGCAAAGAAACATTTACTTTGAAGGAACTTCTTATTTTATTATGTCTTGTATCAGGAAAAAATCTAATAAAATAGCATTCTTGAATTCTCCACAGTAAATGAGTATATGTGTGTGATATGTGTGTGTGTACATGTGCATGCCTGCAACATGTAATCTCATTTGTCTGTGTGTGAAGATTTATTTCTAAGAGTCCACATTCATTAACAAGGTATAACAAATTCAGCAGTTTTTATGAAATACATTAAAAAAATAGCTACCTAGAATCTCATATATAACAGGCACACTGCTGTTTTATCTCTCTTAGCTGTGTTGATGACATAAGTCAAAGAAAATAAATTTAGCATCTTCTTTCTTGGGGAATTGGGTTCACCTAAGGTAATAACAGATCTAAAATGTTATGAAGTAGAGAAAGCCTGAAACCTTAAGGGCTGCCATTATTTCAAGTTAATCACACACCTCAGAGCTGTCTTGTTGGATGTTTCTATTGCAAAAAACATTCATCTATAAATCTGTGTGTTTTCCCTTAGGAAATGATTAAGTACACAGTTTGGCATATAAGTGGCAGAGTACACAAAAATTTTGGTTAACTTATTTCTCCATATACTATTATAGCCAATCCAAAAATCCCTTCTTATAAACAGTTACTTAATACCATATAAATGCGGGTATGCTAATACATGTAATACATATATATATATTTATAAAGGAAATTCTATTTTACAATAAACTAAAGCACCATAGGCCAGGTTTAAATCAGACCAATTAGACCAATACTTACTCTATCATTTTTAAAGAGTATTATGGATTTTCATTGGGGAAAAATTATTTATTATTCCAAAGGAAAACAAAACACATTTCAGGAGCTGTATGATCATGAGAGTAATTACAAAATAAGCCAATATGTAATCTTTATAAAGTAAGTTAAAAAAAACAAAAACAGAAAATAGATTTCTGTTTCCAAATTTGATTGTCACCTACTAAATGGATATTATTATTATTTTAATTATTGAAATTATTCACAAAGAGCATGCCACATAGAAAACAAAAATTACACGAAACCAATGAACTGATCTGTTGAAAATTAGTCAATAATTAAATTTAGTCTGGAAGATCTTGAGTCAATCTTAGGTTTTCCAGAGTGTGTGTGTGTGTATATATGTGTGTGTGTGTGTGTATGTATATATATATACATACATATACATATATATATATATATATATATATTTAAATGATTTTATTGAATTTTTAGAGAAAGAGGAAGTGAAAGAGAGATAGAAACATTGATGTGAGAGAGAAACATTAATCAGCTGCTTCCAGCACACCCCTCACTTAGGATTGAGCACACAACCCAGGCATGAGCCCTGACTGGGAATCGAACCATGGGATGATGCTCAATCCACTGAGCCACACTGGGCAGGAGTTTATATTTTTAACTAATTCTTAATGATCTGCAATTATTGGTATTTATAGTAATAGTAATACATGAATATTGTTTAGAAATTTACATTTGAAGGATTTTTTTCATTTGCATCATTTATCCTCACAGTAAATATTTAAGGACAATAAAACAAATATTTTTACTGAGGGATATGAAAGGTCATAGTTTTCATAGTTATGGCTCTAGAATCACGAAGGAGAGTTTTATCTTCTTGCCACCAGGCTGGGCTGCCTCCCTGTTACATATATGACTTACAAAGACATTTTTATTGAAAACATGCTTATTCCAGTTCACAAAATATGTATATACATCTACAGAGATGGCCCTCCTTTTACATGGATCAGCCTTTATAGACACTTTAATATGAGAAGAGCAAGAATAATTTTCTGTCCCAGCCAGTGTGGTTCAGTGGATTGAGCATCATCCCATGGACTGAGAGGTCCCAGTTCGATTCCTGGTCAGGGCACATGCCTGGGTTGTGGGCTCGATCCCCAGTAGAGGTCATGCAGGAGGCAGCCGATGCATGTTTCTCTCGCACATCGATGTTTCTATCTCTCTCTAAAAAATCAATCAAAACATATTTTTTTAAAAAAGAATAATTTCCTGGTTTACTGTGTAGAATTTGTGCACATCATATTTTTTTCTTTTTTCTCTTTCTATCTCAGAAATTCCCACCCAAATAGGGAATACTTCTTAAAATTTTATTTTCCAACTATATGTCACAATATTATTTAATATACATAGCATGAGATTATTGTGAAGAATTTACTATCTTTTTCTTGTCTAATCTTTAGCTTGCTTTCCCAGTTCCGATCCAATATATTTTCTCCATCTTTGAAACCAGGAATCTTAAAGTGAACTTTACCTACTAATAACGATCTTTCCCTGACATCACTAATATTAGAATTATTAAAATATTAGAAGCTTAAAGTGTGCTGAAAATTCATATGTAAGATACAATTTAATTTTCAAAATAGCAATATATGGTAGCTACAAATAAAACACAAACATTTCACAGATAAGCACAAGAACATTTGAAAGGATGCCATAAATTCTCTATCATCATGTAGATCATAAGAAACAAAGCATGCTTTTGTGTCTCTAAAACTCAAGGGCTTAATCACAGAGCTACACACTTTCCCCTTTCACTATTATCTGAAATCATACATTGTTTGTCTAACCTTTTCTGAGCTAACAAGGGTGGTCCAAGGTGGGTGTATACCCTGCTTTAGGATGAAGAAAGACTGAGAGATGTTTAAATCTAACAGCATAAGAACGTGAACTTCACTGATATTTAAGACACTGGTGGGCATTTTCTGTTGCTGTCGGATGGTCACACGCCGGCAGGTGCGGGCGATGCCTCTGAGCAGGCTTGGGGGCCACCCAAGGTGAAGGGGTTGATTGTGGTGCACACACCAGTTCATGTATTTCCCGTGTGCTACAAGTTTCCTGGCCCTATTTAAGTGGATTTCTAGAATATATTATCCTAGTATTAAAACATAGCAACCCTCACAAAATTAACAGATCACTTTAAACACTTGCTACAAGAAAACCATGCATTAAAATTAAAATGAATATAAACACAAGAACCACACACGCACACAAAAGGGCAGAGTTGACATTTCGACTTCCACTAAAGCTTTTTCTTCAGCCATACTGTGAGGTAAAATAATGACACTCTAGTCTAATAAAATATTAAAGTGGCTGAAACTTCTTTAACACAAATTTATCAAAATATGGATTAATATTCACTGTCATTATACAGAAATTTGTCCTTGAGATACAGGTAAAGATATGTCAAGTACACACACACTATTTTAAATTAACACTCATATATTTGACATGCACACTTGAAAATTTCTAAGGCATTGAGATATGTGAAGAAGATTTGGAGATAAATCAGACTGCTACGGATTGCTAATACTGTGTCTTGTCTCTCTGCCAACAAAGCAAAGTAAATCTGAATTATTTTTTGTGAGTGTGTGCTTCCACCCCTTAGGAAACTGCTCTGCCATTGAATTTCTAAACAGTCTGCTATTTCATATTGGCCTATCTGGACTTCTCATTTCACGTGCTTCAGGTGGCTTTTAAAAAAATAATAATTTTGTTACATTCCCAAGACAATTCTTAGGTCAGTATATCCTAAAAAAATCTTCGAGACTATACCAAATCCACTATTTTCACTAGAAATTCTAGCTTGAGCATCTTCATTCAACTTCAGATAGAAATGGAGTTCATGAAATAACCTATCAAAGCAAAAACCTCAAAATCCTTGTGCAAAGGACATATAATAATATCT